CTGGAAATTCAGGCCCAGCTGGTGCCATGGGATGGGCAGGGAGAGGCTGACCTGCTCCAAACCCCTGGCAGGACCCTGCAGAGCAGGACTGGGCGCTATGGCCAAGGGATCATCTCTTTTGTGGGCATCCCTGGGGGCAAAGGCATGGGCAGAGCCCAGCTGTGGAAGGAAGGGCGAGCACATCTCTGTGACCCATGGGTGCACCCTCCTGTGCTCCCAAACGGGTTTGTTGGTTTTTTTGAAAATCCATGGGTGTGGCAGTGTCAGGGCCCCAGGGCAGAGAGCAGGCAAATATCTGATTTATTCTTGGGGTGCACAAGGGATATCGGGGCATGTGATGGGCCCATCAACATCTGTGGTGTATTCACAGGGGACATGGAGCATCTCTGCATCACCCCATCAGGCTCCGCAGTGGCTGACCTACCTCTCCTCCTGCAGGGACACTGACGCTCAGGAAAGGTGTCACTCGGTGGTCATCACCAGGGAGGGCACAGGACAGCCTGTGCTGATGGGACACTGATGTCCCCTCCCTGCCAGTCAAGAAGTGGGGAAAATTTGGTAGAGCTCAGTTGTGTGAGAAGATGACAATCTGGAGAAGGCTGCTGAGATGTTCTGTCTGATTTCCACTTCCCCAAGGAGCACTGCTGGAGATCCCAGGGTTTGATTAAATCCCAGCCTGCTAAATGAAGCTTGTGAAGCGCTGCAGTTTTCTTCCCCAAGATGGATTTCCTCCAAACCCCTTATTAGGGGTTTGGGTTAAGTCTGTGCAAAGCTGGTAAAGCTGCTGCCTCCATGGTGCCCCCCCAGCAGACCAGGGGGCTTCCAGAGGAAGCACAAGACAGGATCCAACCAGCTAAAAAGGGGAAGAGAGAGGAAGGAGGGAATCATTGGCATCTACAGCTTTCAGGGCCTTAGAGGTGACAATGCCAGTGTCAGCCCTCTGCAAAAGGGGTTGTGGGACACCCATGGGAGACAATGTGGCTTGGGGGAGATGAGTCAAGGGGTGCTGCTGGTTACCTGGGAGGTAAAGCCTGGAGCAAGCTCCCAGTACCAAACCATCCTCCCAGGGGGCAGATGTGGAGCCTGCCTGGCTCTGGCTGATGAGAGTGGAGAGCATCAGGGCAGGCACCAGTGGGTTAAAAGCTTGAGGTGGGACTTGGTGAGTTGCTTCCTCCCGGCAAACAATAATACAGGAGGGAGAAGGGATGCACGGGGCTCTGCAGGGGCTGATAGCGATGGAGCAACCCCAGCCCTGCAGCTGCAGCTGTGCCAGAGGAAGCCTCAGCACATTATCTGCTGGTCCCACTCGGCTTCCTCAGCAGCCCTGAGGTGCTGCAGGGACCGGGTCATTCCTCCTGCAGAGCCTCATTTCTCACGGACCCAAGTTGGGTCCCTGTGTTTTGATGGCAGCCCTGGACCCCAGCACCCCCCAAACCCTGCACTCCCAGACAGTCCAGCCTTCCCAGCATCAGTGTTTCCCACTGCTGGGGGTCTGGAAGTGGTCACCCAGGCCTCAGAGCCCCAAGACCGCAGTGTCACCCAGCACATGGTCCCTACAGCAACCCTCCTGCTGCCCCATCCCCCCACATAACAGACAGTGCCCACACCTTGGCAGAAGGAATCTTTGGCTGGAAGATGACTCCTGCAAAGGGGATCTCCGGGTCCTTGCTGAGGTCCCTGCAGCTCTGGTTGCCTCTGCTCCTAGTCCTTCTCATCAAAGATCTGCTGCACCTGGAGCTGCTGCAGCCTGACCACGCTGGCTGGTGTCCCAGCACTTCCTCGTGTGCGGCTCTTTGTGACCTGCCTGCTGCTCCACCTCCGCAGCTGCATCGCTGTCACAGGAGCAGCCCTTTTCCGTTCCGTTTCCTTTTTTTGACCCTCTCCTCCTGTAGCAGCCTTTGCCTCTCACAGAGGCTCTGCCTGCTGCTGTTTGCCCCACTCGGGTGTGGGAGGGTGTCTCTCAAAATGGGTCTTGCCCTGATCCTGGCAAGTAAGGTCAAGACTCTCAATGTCCTCAGTGCTCCTACCCCAACCCACAGACCTGCCTGGCTCCAGCTCCTGGCGCAACAAATCTTTGCCAGTGGCTATTGGTCTGGAATAAGGCAGCTGCTGGAAAACCCTGGGAAATGCGGGCCTTTCCCACCACTGAGATCAATCCCTGGAGCCTGGAGAGCTGCTGGGCTCCCTGGAGCAGAGAGATGTTTGCCCCCAGATGTTACTATGGCTCCAAAGAGGCTGGGGGAGGCTGTCTGAGCTGCTCTGGGTGGCAACTTCCCCACCCACGGTCTCTGGAAGTCCCCAGACATGTTTCCATGCAGTCTCAGGAAGAGTAGACTCCTCAAGGGGTTGTCTGGCTTTCCCCACTGTTGGAACCAATGCTGGCACCCATGCCCCAGCTTCAGGATAGAGATAGATCAGCTGCTAAAAGTCGATCCTAAATCACACTTACTCTGTCCAAACGTGCCTGTGCTCCCAGGGAGCAGCTAGCTGGTCAGGTGGAGCTGGGATTTCAAGTGTCTCCTGGGGCACTGTAGTGCACCCAGTGAAAGGACACAGGGCTATGTGCTGCCACCCCCGTGGGCAGGGGGGACATTGAGATCTGACACTTCCCAGAGCCAGGAAATAAGCGTGACACAAAGGGCAAAACCAGCAAAAAGGGAGGGAGGGAGGCAGGAAACATCAGGCAGGAGAGGAAACGGGGAGATAATCAGCTCCATGACCACAAACACCCGGAACTTGTGCAAAGGAAAAGCCGACACCACTTGGCAAGCATTTGAGCAGGGAGACCTGCCCATCTGGCCTTTTACTGAGGCTTCCTGAAGAACACATGCCCTGGAGCACCTTAAGGTTCTCAGGGGTCCCTGGCCTCAAAGTTCCCATGGGTGGCATGGTCCCACGGTCCCTGGTGGCTTAGCTCCAGCATGTGCTCACTGGGATGAGCTTTGTCTCAGAGGGCAGAAGGATGGGCTCCTGGAGAGGACCTGGCTGCACTTGTAAAGGCAAAGCACTCACCAGGGGTGAGTCCCCATTGTAGAGAGGTCCAAACTGGGTCATCCTGCCCCAGTCTCACGGCTTGAAAAATGGGATCAACTGACCTGTTTCTGCTTGGCTCTGCTATCCCAGCACCCAAAAGGAAGACCACTGCATTGGGATTCCTACGGGCTGATGCTCCAGGTGCTTCAATGCCCAGCTGTGCCCTGGGGTTAGTTCTCCCCAGGAGCTGTGTCCAGTACTGCCAGGCAGCAGCACTCCACCTGCAGAGCTTCCCACTCCTCCTCCTCCTCCTATCACATTCAGAACACAGGGCTACCTATGCCCTGGGTAACCTGACCATATCCCAGGTGTCCCAGGCTGATGGAGCCTGTCCCAGCTGTCAGCAGTCCTGTGTCCCACCATGTTCCCAAGGGAAGCAGTGATCTCATGGGGCTGGCAATGACCACGAGGGGGACGATGACTGTAAGCTGTCAGCAATCCATGATGGGATTTCTGGCATTGTTCATCTCCCAGGATCCAGCACATGGTGTGGGACAGAAGGGAGAAACATGGAGAGAGATGGGCATGGAGCCAGCCTGTGGTGACTGGCCAGGCTCCAGCTGGCTTGTGTGGAGTAACTGGGGCAGGAGAAGCTCTGCCAAGGGGCAGGGAGGGCACTCGGGGGAGGCTTGGCCGTGTCTCTGAGCCAGCACTGGGCTGAGCACAGCAATGCACTGGCAGGATCAGGCACCTCACCCACGCTCCTGTCCCTCAGCCATTCCTTCCCAGGGATTCCCCTCCTCCTGCTGCCCTTGCAGCGCTGATAGGGAGGTGCCAAAGTGGGCACTGACCACTCTGGCCACAGTTATGAGCTGGGAAAGAAAAGAGCAAGCATTTACATGGGAAATCAGGTGGCTGAATCAAGCAGAAGAGCCCAGATGTTTCAGAGCTCCCCTGAAGATCAGGCTGAGGTCAGTGTCTCCCTGGCAGAGGCACCTGTGCAGCAGTGGGTGCCTCATGTGGGTCCTACTCCCTGCAGCTCTGCTGGCAGTGCTGGCTCCTGAAGGCCTTGGAGAGCATGGGCTTGGAAAAGAGCATGTCAGCCTGGGAACAGGGAACACAGCTCCTCTGGCACAGCCAGGTGGGGCATGGCCTCAAGATTCCCAGGAAATGTTGTGGTGGCAGGCAAGCTCCCACTCCAGGAAGAGATACAACCCCAGCAAAGCCCAGACCCAGAGGGACCCAGATGCTTCAGCTGTTCCTGCAGATGAGAAAGAAAAGGTGATGGCCTCTTGAGGGAAGGAGCAGGGGGTTGCCTGTCCTGCAGGCCAGGTTGCTTTGCCCACCTGAGATCAGGCTTGGCTTTGCAGGAGTTCTGGCTCCCCTTGGCCATGCTCCTTTAAGAGAAGCTCTTTCCAGAAGGGGCAAAACCCTCCTGAGAAACCCCAATACCACCACAAAATGCCTTTGGGGCCGTTATCACTTTCTGGTCAAATTCATGCAGTCCAGGGCTGCCCAGCCCACCTTGCTAAGGTTCTCAGCTTCTCCATCCCACAGAAGTGCCATTCCCATCCTGTGATCCCCCATGGGACCAGTTTTCCCCCCACCCAGGGGTACCATGCCCAGTTGGGGCACCACTGTGGGAAGAGATGTCTGCCTGGGATTGCAGAACTGGAGTGTAGTGCCTGGTCTTCCCATTCCAACCATGAGGCTGCTCCTAAAGATACCACGTCCAGCACAAAGTCATCCCAAGAAAACTATGGCAAATACACCATGCTTTGGTGGAAGCATGGCAGCGACCAGGCAGACCTGGGCACACCCTGCAGCCAGGCAGGACAGCAGAAGCTTTGGGTGAGTTACATGTGCCCTGGGACACCCCTTCAGCTCAGAGCAGCTGAAGATTAGGCAGGCAGACTGCTCGGATCACAGGAACATTTTGGTTGGAAAAACACTCCCAAGATCATCATGTTCAGCCATTAATGCCATTTTTTGCAGGGGCAAGACAGTCTGAGTGGAGATACTGCAGCTGGGAGAAGGCACAGATAGTAATTGACTTTATTTATTAGCAAGGTGAAAGCAGGGGTCACACCCTGCCCACCCACTGGAGTCCCAAGGAGGTTCCTTGCAGACCACAGAGGGCTGAGCACCCTGGTGCACCCATGAACTCAGGGAGTCCCGTGGCACTGTGGAGTCCCTCGCAGGGACAGAGCAGTCACCAGGGGATAGCTTTACCTTCCCAGTTGAGCAGAGTCCCACTGTGTTTCTCAGAAAGGATTGGCAGCACAGACAACAACCCCCGCACACTTGTGTCCACTGTTAAGTCAGCCTGCAAAGGGCAAAATGAGGCACCACTGTCATTCCAGGCTATGCAGCAGCACCCATTTGGCTCATGTGCAGTAAGAGCAAGGCTCCTTCCACCTAGAGTGAGCAGAGAGCCACAGGAGCTGGGACAAGTCCACTGTGTGGGAGGATGGTTGGGTGTCTGCACTGCTGGCTTGGATGGAGGTGGCCTGGGCTGGGAAGCCAGCCACAGGTTTAACCAAAGAGGAGGAGATCCCTGCTGCAACTGAGATGCCTTGTGCAGCCTTCTCAAAACTCCAGTGCTGCAGGGACCACCACCACTTCAAAACATAGATCGTGCAGGATGAGTGGAAACCTCATGGACCTGTTCTTCAAGGAATGGGGCACGGCTTGCAACAGGACAACACAGGAGGAGTTGCTCCACTCCTCCCTGCTTTGTTGGATTCAGGTTCTCTGCATCTCTTCCAGGCTGTCCAAAGCCCCTTTATTCTCCCGGAACAAGCAGCCTGATACGTGTTGATGCTACTCCCCAGACAGTATCCACATGTTCTGCAGGGGCTCAACAGACATGGACAACTTGGAGCCTGAGAGGCAGCTCGTTTTCATGTGGATCCTCCTTCCAGAGAGCCATCTTGGCCACCTGGGCCACCTCCTGTGCAGGTTTGTGACCCTGGGTGCCACCCGTGGGTTCCCTGTTGACCTGCTTGGCCAGAACTCACCTCCTGACTGCCCATGTCTGTTTTCACCCAGCCAGGGTGCAGTGCCACGCACAGGATCCCAGATTCCTTGTAGGTCAGAGCCTGGCACATGGTCAGCATGTTGAGGGCAGCCTGGGTGAGGAAGGAAGCATCATCTATGGGTAGCAAAAATCTCCATGAACCAGGTTCCCTTCCCATTGCTGCCTCTTGGTGAGGGAGAAAAAGCAATGCCAAGTCTTCAAGAGACAGTGTGTGTCTCCCCTGGGTGGGCATGGAGATGCCCCGAGAGCTTGGGAACTCTCTCCATCTCTCGATCCCAGGTTTCTCCCTGAGACCCAGCCTGGCAAGAGCAGCTCTGACCCCCGTGGAGCTCAGGAGCCGGGACAGGTCACCAGTCTCCATACCTTGCTGCAGCGGTAGGAGATGACAGGGCGGAAGAAGGAATCAGGTGTTTTCTTGATGGACCCCAAAATGGTGGAGATGTTGATGATGGCTGCCTTGCTGCAACTCAGACCCTTTTCTTTGCTGTCCTGGGCAGCCTTCTTCAGCAGAGGCAGGAAGGCCTGGGGAGAAACAACCTAGTGGGACACCCGTGCCTCAAGACAGTCCTACTTACAGCAACTGCAATCCAGGGAGGGTGAGGAAGTGCAGTAGGATGTCAGGTGTTGCTGCAGTGGCCCTGCCTGCTCCAAATTAGACTTGCACAATTCAGAGAGGCTGCAGAAGGCTTAGGCTTGAAGAGCAGGCCTAGCCCTCCCTTTCACAGCACCGAGAAATGTGGGAAAGCCCTCCAAGATTTGCGTCATGACCATGGACAGCCTGGGATACCCTCAAGATGGGCCAAATTTCATCCCCAGAGCTTCATCCGTACCTGGGCCATCAGCATTGGCCCCACTGCATTGGTCTTGTATGTCCTGACCATGTCCTCAGCATCGACTGTCTCCAGTGAGGCCGTGGGGGTGTAGATGCCAGCATTGTTTATCAGCAGGTTCAGCCCCATTCCGTCCAGCTTCCCCTCCACCACCTTGGCCGCATCGGTGATAGCCGAGGGGTTTTCGACATCTGCAGTGGGAGAGAACAGTCTGAGAGCCACGGGGGGCTAGGGAGAAGGAGGGGAGGATGCCGAGGAAATGTGCACACTCCGAGCCGCGCGGCCCTTCCATCCATGGGCACCAGATGGTGCTGTGAAACCAGCTCCAGCTCATCCCAACTCATCCCAACACCGCCTCCTCCGCCGGCAGCTGAAGGCTACCACCAGGAAAAGCCCACCGTGGGGGCAAACCGCTGCTGCGACTCCCATGCTGCGTTCACAGCAGCCACAGTCTCCAAAGTCTACGTCTCAGCAATTTCTGGAGAACCCAAGGTGGTCTCCGGGGGGACAAGTCCCCAAAGGAAATGTGCTGGACATGCTGTGGGATTGCCCTGCAAGGTCCTTCTGCTCCTGCTCAAGTTCTGGGCTGATCTTACAGCATTTCCACAGGAGCTGCCTTCCTCCCAGAGCCTTCCTAGTCTTGCCTGGGACTTGGGATCAAGGCAGACCAAGGATGTGGTCACTCAGCTGGGGGAGCCAGGGGCTGCCCAGGATGGGTCTCAAGAATATTCTGGTCCTGTGGCCATGGAGCAAGGAGGCTCCAGGGAACGGGGTACTGAGGCTGAGACAGTTCTGCAGAAGCTGGGGTTTTGGTAGCAGGACTTGAAGAAGCTCAAAGAACTGAATCCCCATGGACAGCCAGGAAGGAGGGAGGGAGGGAGAAATGGGGCAAGCATGGCTGGCAGTCGCAAATTTACCAGCTCAGAGGCAGAGTACACATACCCAGCTTTACAAGAACCAGATTTGGGTGTTTGGATGCCAGATCTCTCAGCTCCTACAAAAAGAGACACGGAAACAATCAGCACAGGGTAAAGGCGATGCCAAGCTGGGGTGTCAGCAGTGGCCCACTATGACAGAAACATCTTCCAGGTGTTACTCAGTGCTTGTGAACAGCTGGGCTGGGGACCTGCCTTGGTTCCCAGGCTTCTCCCAAGCTCCACAAAGCAACGGGCACATGCTCCAGGCACGACATGGCCATGACTGCAAGATCCTGTGGTCACTTTCCCAAAGGGTAATCCACAGTCCAGCCAGAGCCACAGCAAAAGGTGGGAGTAAACTGTGAAGCAGTAGTTTCCCAGAGAAACTATGTGAACTGGCTGGGGATACAGCCAGAAGTGTCTCCCAGAGGCTGCACCTGCCACGGAATGAGCTGGGCACCCCTTAGTTGGCAGCAGGGTGGGTTCTCACTTCGCCAGGACTACTCCTGACATGGAATAATACACACTTGCAAGAAGATGCAACAAACAAATTAGCTGGAGCCAGGATCTGTCAGAGAGCAAGTTTTTCCCTATTAGTATTTCAGTGGGACACAGCAAGCAGAGAAAGACAAGCTGGATGTAAAGAAAGTTGGAAGAACAGGGAAGCTTTGTGATTCCCTGCAGAATGTGTGAGTCTCTCTCATTTTAGCAAAGTGGAAAGCAGGGACAGGAAATCCCCACAGCTCCACTGGCCAACATCCAGATTTTGCAGAGAGCAGCGTGACACAGCAGAACGGGCCCGAGCAGCACCGCCTCAGCCCCTGAGGCCAGGCCAGCTCGGCCGTGCCCGCAGCGCAGGGCCCGGCACGAGAGGGCGGCTTCGGGCACATCCAGAGCAGCCCAGAATAGCCCGGCGGCCTCAAGGGAGACACGGCCGATTCTTCGCCGGCTGCACTTCGGGTGACTTTCACACGGGGCAGGGCACGGTGCGGACACCAGAGCCCCGCGCCAGCAGCGAGTCCTTCAGGCCGGTGACACGGGCCGAGCGTGCGGCCGCCGCGCCCCCGGCCCGCAC